ACGAAACTGTTTGTGTTACAGTCGATTTTAATGTTCAGCCTCACCAACAGTCGTGAGTTATGGACATGATTAAAAAACTATGATCTCGGGTACAAACGATTCAAGCTGGCTCGTTTAAACGAATCGCTGACTGACGAGTCTCGACAGAGTCCGGAGTCCGGAGTCCGGAGTTCAGATGTGAGGCACTACCGCAGCTTCCCCAGATTGAGAAGCAACAGCTGCCTTTGTTTTGACATGTTGTGGGAATGCTTCTTGAAAGAAAGGCAAAACAGCTACCATTTTCTCAACCGCCCGGATGAAGACCCCGGCGAAGGTCAAGAATGTCAGAGGCCGAAAGTATTGAAGGACTCTGTTTTAGACTCAGGTTATCTCTGCTGAAGCTCAAACGCTGGCACGGCATCAGAAAAGGTTGGAGACGCTGGCGGAGTTGCTGCCTCAGCGACTCGAAACGATAAGCGGCCATCGAAATTGCCAATACGTTTCATATTATGGAAGCCCTCCATTAATTACTGGTAAAATAAATATTTCAAAGCAATGTTTAGTGGCCGAAGCCACATGAGTTAAAGCCAGTGAGAAAGTAACTGAAGTGAACTGAAGAGCGATCCATGTCCGGGCATGGACCTCCTTGGAATTGACTCAGGGATGTTTGCTTCATTGCAGAATCCTTCTGAATCTGTTGGACCCCATTTTTAACGACGGTTAGAAGAAAGGACGGACAGACAGATATTCCCAACTGATCTTTGGGCATCCGGTCGACCAAAGCTCACTAATCTATGCAACGCACATTCCTTTCACCTGACGGAAATATTGCTCTTACTCAGAAATACATAACAGGAGTTCTGACGATACGTTGCGCACGATTTTCTGATATAACACAAAATCATCGAATTGCACTATTTTATAGTATTTACGGGTTGAATTGGTTAATCAAGTTTTTTATTTGTTTTAATAAGTTTCTGTAAGTTTATCACCGCTCTAATTTTTGGATTTGGACTGTATCTGCTCGGTCCTTGAACTAATTGAATGCTATTCGCATAGGCAGCTGCACCCGTTACAAAATCAGCAGTTTTTCTCGGTCTTCCATAGATTTTGGACCATTAGGTTTTCCGTCGTTTTGCTTTCTCGTCTTCCGATCTTCTGGCATTCGACCTTATGATCTTACGCATATCAGACCAGCAGCTCTGCGAAAGAGAATGACATCTGCTGAGTTGAACTAGACCGGTTTAGTTCGATGACCTATTTAACTCTTGCCCTCAAAAATCACGATGATGCAACTTTGAATATAAGTACATTATTCTCTGAGTTGCTCCCTCCTGCGCTGTGAACTGCATTTCACACTGGTACGATAATGAGGGTGTGCAAATTTTTAACCGAATCTGTGCATGAAATATTTCATCTAGACAAGTTTCCTGCGAACTGATAAAAACTTTAATACGTACCATCATACGGATTAAACCGAAAGAGTTCAGAGCATCTAATGCATTTCAAAACAGGTATCTGCTATCATTTTCCTCATCCAAACTAGAAAGTTTAGCCCATTTTCATTCCGCGAGCGCTAAACGCGGAACGGCCATGGTGTCCCGTGAAAAATGCCGCTGTAGACTTTTGTCGTCGACCTGAATACCACGTACGCTTGTGAATGCTTCTGACCGACTAAAGCACGGTCATGGTTTGGTTCGATGGCTTAGTCTAGGAAATGACCTCATTTTGGCCGCCTTTAATGGTAGTCAAATCAAACAGTGCCGTTTGTTTTTGCCCTCGAGGACGTTTCCGGTTGGTCAGAGTACGCCGACCGTTAAGGTGTTAGATCTTAAGTCAAACACCTACTTTCTGTTCCCTACTAAGTTACACTACGCAGTGCATAGACACTGCCTTGTAATACGAGACACTCCTGATTGCAATGATAACGCCTATCTGCGCTCCACAGAAGCGATTGAAACGTTAAGTGCAAGAAGAAATGGCGCTACAAATACCGCAATCAAGAAAATTTGTTGGACACCTAACCCCCCCCCCTCCCTCAAATTTTCGTTTCCTTTTCCCTCAGATCCCTCCTTCCAGGAAATTTTTTTCTTTCTTTACGCAATCGTTTACCTCCCGCAAGTTGAACCTCATGTTTAAGCCGTGGAGGACACGCACGTAATACAAGTACGGCGGTCAATATCAAGAGTTAAGCATGATACAAAACAGTTTTCTTCTCAACCATGAGTGAAGAGCGCTTCAGAATCTACAAACGAGCATAATCAACTGGTTCTATTGCAAATGCAACGTTTTTGAACGATGGTTATGCGTTTCTACTGGCAGTGAACCTCCAAACGGTCAAATCGGCACGGCAATGATTATTAGCTGACGGACTGTAGTACATTTTTCCAGAAAAATCTGTTGCGAAGAAGGAAACCTGAAAGGATGGAATGAAGACGAAGTATGCATTAATTCTCAGAAATAGTATAATACTTTCTGTCTTCTGAACGTACGATGACCTTGTTTCTGTTGCTTTTCTTCGCTTGCTGCCATCCTGAAGCGTTGCAGACATTAGCATTGCAGATGAACGGCATCCTGTTTATTGATATTTTTTGTAATAACACAAAAGTTTATGTAAATGTCCTACAAAAATTCTTATTGTTTTAAAATATACATGATATTTCATGACTCTGCTGAAAGCATGATCCTGATTTCCTAACTTTTCCCGGTTGTACCAATTTCAATTGAGAACAGTTACAAAACTGTGGCTAAAATTCGCTTATGAAATGAAAAGTTATGAAAACAGACGTCAAACCAATGCATATTTAATCAAATGCTAGTGAATACGCACAGTACGTAATTAATATACTTAGTAGAGTACACATCCAGTTCCGCAGATTGCATGATACACATGCACTGGAGAGATAATGCATTATGCAGCATGTAATGTATAATATATTACACTATAGTATGCAGTGCATTCGGGAATGATATGAAGATAAAGTAACGCATAAAATCTTTACTTTAAATCATGTTATACAAAGACTGACATTCCGTAACGAACTCGATCCTCATTCAGAGCTGAAACATCTGATGCATTATACTTTTAAATAATCATAGCTACTAGCATTGTCCAACCTATTGTATAGGTAAAATAAAAAGACTAGTTTCGTGGATCTTGTCATTTTTCTGTTCGAGATATGGCCAGTTTCTTGGGTTGAAAAACATGGGCTTCCTGTTTCGTTTTTCACGGCAATAGTCCTTCAGGGCGGAGGCAGAAATTTGGGTAAACACCTGACGAAGCACGAGAAATCAACTATGGAAAATAGGGCCGTCCGAAAAACCTGCTTAGGCAGGAAAAAATAAATAAAAAAAAGACAGCAAGAATACACCTCGCAGCCGCAGTGCCGCCCGACCTAATTGGTTGGCCGCCGACGCGCATAAATTTGCACTATCATGCTGACTCATTCCGAAAAACGGACAGACATAAGAACTACCATTGGGCTGATTGCCAAACGTCATTCGAAGTGCACCACCTCGTAAATCGATCTGCGAAAGGCGCGAGTTACGCCCATCCAGGAAACACCACCTAGCCGATATTGCTGCTTCGCACTTCCATGTTGTTGTAATTGCGAAACAGCAAAACAAATCAACATATACACGAATGTTTTATGAATTATTTATCGCATAAAAGTTATATCGCACTAAGGATAATTTCCTACTGCTCTGTGAGGGAAGTAATTTAGATGATATTTCATTTCTTCAATTCTCCTGACAATCATCGATCCAAACGGAAACTGCGCGCAATTCGTCAATGTTCGTAAACACATGAAAGAGCAATCCATTGAAAACGAATGGATCCCGTAGATAAAGGCAGTAAAAGAAGTGTCTGAGCCGGCAACGGGACGGCTGCCTTTGATGCTCAAGCTCAATGCGACGAAAATGCATGCTTCCATTTTCGTTTCGACTTACCGGTCACTCGGTCTCAGTAATGGTGCGTATGCACCATGCGTATGCAAATTTAGGATCTACAGTAAGGGCAACCGATGTTCCAAGTTAGTAATGTTTGCTGAGTTCAGAAATTTACGCTCAACGCTACGAAAACACTGAAGATACTCAGAACGCGAACACAAACAAACCGGCCAGCCTATCACTGCTGATAAGCTAATGTATCTGCCATTATCTCCATCACCAGGTACTGTGCAGATTACAGATGGAAAGTAAACGTTGACAGGGCAGAGCTAGGCGCCGACGTCTGTTTGGCCGCCCCCCCCCCTCCGGATGGATGGCA